CTCATTTCACTCATTTCACTCATTTCACTCATTTCACTCATTTCATTCATTTCATTCATTTCATTCATTTCATTCATTTCATTCATTTCATTCATTTCATTCATTTCATTCATTTCATTCATTTCATTGATTTCATTCATTTCATTCATTTCACTCATTTCACTCATTTCAGTCATTTCATTCATTTCATTCATTTCATTCATTTCATTCATTTCATTCATTTCATTCTTTTCATTCTTTTCATGCTTTTCGTTCATTTCATTCATTTCATTCATGTCATTCATTTCATTCATTGCATTCATTGCATTCATTGCATTCATTGCATTCATTGCATTCATTGCATTCATTGCATTCATTGCATTCATTGCATTCATTGCATTCATTGCATTCGCTTCATTCGTTTCATTCATTGCATTCGCTTCATTCGTTTCATTCATTGCATTCATTTCATTCATTTCATTCATTGCATTCATTTCATTCATTTCATTCATTTCACTCATTTCATTCATTTCATTCATTTCATTCATTAAATTCATTTCATTCATTTCATTCATTTCATTCGTTCATTCGTTCATTCGTTCATTCGTTCATTCGTTCATTCGTTCATTCGTTCAATCGTTCATTCGTTCATTCGTTCATTCGTTCATTCGTTCATTCGTTCGTTCGTTCATTCGTTCATTCGTTCATTCGTTCATTCGTTCAGTCAGTCAGTCAGTCATTCAGTCAGTCAGTCAGTCAGTCATTCAGTCAGCCATTCATCCATTCATCCATTCATCTATTCATTCCTTCATTCCTTCATTCATTCATTCATTCATTCACTCAGTCACTCAGTCAGTCAGTCAGTCAGTCATTCAGTCATTCAGTCATTCAGTCATTCAGTCATTCAGTCATTCAGTCAGTCAGTCAGGCAGTCAATCAGTCATTCAGTCATTCAGTCATTCATTCATTCAGTGATTCATTCATTCACTCACTCATTCACTCATTCATTCATTCATTCATTCTTTCATTCATTCATTCACTCATTCACTCATTCACTCATTCACTCATTCACTCATTCACTCATTCATTCACTCATTCATTCATTCACTCATTCACTCATTCACTCATTCACTCATTCATTCACTCATTCATTCATTCATTCACTCATTCATTCATTCATTCATTCATTCAGTCATTCAGTCACTCATTCATTCACTCACTCATTCACTCATTCACTCATTCACTCATTCACTCATTCACTCATTCACTCATTCACTCATTCACTCATTCACTCATTCACTCATTCACTCATTCACTCATTCCTTCCTTCATTCATTCCTTCCTTCATTCCTTCCTTCCTTCATTCCTTCCTTCCTTCATTCCTTCCTTCCTTCATTCGTTCCTTCCTTCCTTCGTTCCTTCCTTCCTTCGTTCCTTCCTTCCTTCGTTCCTTCCTTCCTTCCTTCATTCCTTCATTCCTTCATTCCTTCATTCCTTCATTCCTTCATTCCTTCATTCCTTCATTCCTTCATTCCTTCATTCCTTCATTCCTCCATTCCTTCATTCCTGCATTCCTTCATTCCTGCATTCCTGAATTCCTGCATTCCTGCATTCCTGCATTCCTTCATTCCTCCCTTCCTTCATTCCTCCCTTCCTCCTTTCCTCCATTCCTTCATTCCTTCA